GCTTCTCTGAACTGCTGGCGGTGGGCTGCGGAGCCCCAGAGTGTGCTGGTTGAGGGGCTGGCAGGCTGTGGCTGCTGATGGACACTGTCGACCCCCATGCACTCGCTGGTCTCTGTGTGTGGAGGCCGATGGTGTCCGGCAGCAGCCGCCCCGGCCCCTGCCTCGCCTTGCCCTGCGACAATGGCACCCCCGCCCTGCCTTGCTTCGCCTTGCCTCACCTCACAGGATGAGCCTCCTGCCCACTGCCCCACCTGCCAGAGACCCCCTGGATCTCCCCCAACCCTGCCTGGCCCCCACAGGCGTCCCTCCCCATGAGCAAAATAGAGGTGACCACGCCCACCTTGGCCACACCCACCCAGTCTGTCATGACCACCACAGCCACGCCCACCTGGCACCCAGCAATAAATAAGTGGGTTTTGGGTTGCAGTTTGGGCACTTGGTCTCTAAAAGGTTTGCCATTACTAGTCTAGAGCAGGGCTTTTCAACCTTTTCACCCATTGTACCACTTTTAGGATATGGCAATATCCAAGTACCACTAGTCACCTAGCAAGGTGTCAAAAACTTGATGATCAAAAAAAAAAAGGGGGGGAAAGTGATAAAGTACAGGTAGTCCTCTACTTAGTTCACTTAGTGACTGTTCGAAGTTACAATGGCACTGAAAAAAGTGCCCCCCAAGCCACAGCCGAGCAAGACACCTGCCCGCCCGGAGGCGCTCTTCCTCCTGCCCGAGGTTTTCATTGTTGTGAGCATTTCTGTTGAGGATTGGCAGCAGGGGTGGGGTGGGGGGATGTTTGGTATTTATTCCCCCTGTCTGCTGGGTGGTTGCAGCAGATTTTGGTCACTTCACATGATCCTGGGACACTGTGACCATCATAAATATGAATCAGTTGCCAAACATCTGAATGTAAATCACAAGACCCTGGAGATGCTGCAACATTCCAGCTGATCGGCGCTTCTTCTGGGCTCAGCAGAAGCACCAGGATCAGCGCTGAGCTCCAGCTGGAGCCTGGCGCTGATCCTAGCGCTTCCACTGAGCCCTGACAGCCCCGAAGAAGCACTGATCCTGGCGCTTCCGCAGAGCCCTGACAGCCCTGCAGCTCCAGCCATCTCTCGCTCAGGCTTGTGCGGTGCTGCCACCAGTTCAGCTCATTCCCCTCCCCCGCTACCCCTTTTCTAGGTTGGTCGCGTACCACCTGCCAGGTGCCAATGTACCACAGGTGGTACCCGTACCACTGGTTGAAAAGCCCTGGTCTAGAGGACTGCCCCAATATTTGAATGTTTCACATCGACTTCTTATCTTCCCGTGAAAATGCATTTTCAGAGGCTTTAAAAAAGCTGTAAGAAGAGGCTGGATCAGCATCTAGCTTTCCACTTGGCCTGCCTCTTTTCATTCGGCTTTACTTCCATGTTGAGAAGCAGACTCCCAGTTCTCCTTCTCTTGCTATATTTATGCACTTGCCTTCTGATTCACTCTTGGTGGAGACAAGAAGGATTAACTAAACAGATCTCCAGAAAGGCAGTTCCTTTCATCCTTACATCCGTTTTTTCTTCCTCAACAAACATGTGAACTTTGCCTACTTTGGTAGTTTTGGGTTTCATCAACATGTGCTTTCATCATTGCCTCACTTTTCTTGGGTCATTTCCTTCCTTTTCTTGGTTTCCTTCCTTTTCTTTCTTCTTCTGCGTATTGTGCTCCTCACATCCAGCTTTTCGTCCTTATTCAGCCAGCAGGTGAGCGCATTGTAATAAGCTGGTCTTCAAAATACCCAAGGAGGGCGATCCTTGTGGCTTGCAGATGTTGGTCCCCATCTCATTGTAAATACTTCTTTCCCTTGGTGAGGCTGTGATGATGGGAAACATTCTACAACTCTGAAATCTTGTCAAGCTGTGTATGAAGTTCAGCCTATTGCCCTCTGGGCAACCCTATATGCAGGTGACATGTAAGCTACAGCACTGGGTGTAAAATTGTCCCAAGATTAGAAATAGCCATCTCAGCAGCTGATTTGAAATGTCCGCACGTGGGGGAGACCAAACTGCCTGAGCTCCAACTTTCTTCTAAAGCAGGGGTAGAAAATGATGCCCCCCTTTATGACTTGTGGACTTCAACTCCCAGAATTCCTGAGCCAGTCTAAAGACTAAAAAGTATTCTCTCTCCTGCCTGCCTTCCTATTCTGTTCTTTTTATTCTTTTGAAACCCTGAATCACCTGATCATTACCTCCTTAATTTACTATTGCAAACTAGAGTTTGTAATATTTTGATTGCTGGAATAATATAACTCAGGCAGCAGCTTTTAGTCAGGTAGCATCTCTGCCTATAATCAATGCATGTAGGCACATAAAGTACTGCAAAAATCAAAGCAATCAGTAGACTGACTCCCAAATTATCTGTATGCAGTCTTTGACCGGAAAACATGCATGCTTCAGTGCACTGATACATGCTCAGGAGGAGTGAAAACACACTCTGATGGCTGAAATATGCCCTGTAAGATAGGATGTAAAACGTGGGTTACACAACTGTAAAGTATACAAACCAAACAAAACAGACATAGACTTCAGCGAATAGCTAGAACTGCAGAAAAAACAATTGCTACCAGCTTGCCTTCCATTGAGGACCGGTATACTGCAGAGCAAGAAAGAGGACTGTGAAAATATCTACAGACCCCTCACATCCCTTGACATAAAACTGTTTCAACTTCTTCCCTCAAGACGACGCTGTAAGGCATTGCACACCAGAAAAACTAGACATAAGGACAGTTTTTCCCCCATGCCATCACTCTGCTTAACAAGTAGTTCTTACAACACTGTCAAAATACTTAGTAAAGCTGAATTACTATGATACTCCTCATCTTTCCTATTACCTATCTTTATCTTCTTATGACTATAACTTTGCTGCTTGTATCTTACAATTTATATTGTTTTTTTTAGTATCCTAGTCTGATTTATGTTGTTTGCTTAGCTTAGCTAGTACTCTGTGACTATCACTAAGTGTTGCATCTTATGATTTATGATGTATTGTATTTCACGATTTATGGTGAATGTATTTTTATGCTGTAAATGATCATGATTATCACTATTACCTGTATGTACACTGAGAGCTTATGCACTGGAGACAAATTCCTTGTGTGTCCAACCACACTTGGCCAACAAAGAGAATTCTATTCTATTCTATTCTATTCTATTCTATTCTATTCTTTCTAAATTCTATTCTATTCTATTCTTTCTAAATTCTATTCTATTCTATTCTTTCTAAATTCTATTCTATTCTTTCTAAATTCTATTCTATTCTGTTCTTTCTAAATTCTATTCTATTCTTTCTAAATTCTATTCTATTCTGTTCTTTCTAAATTCTATTCTATTCTATTCTTTCTAAATTGTATTCTTTCTAAATTCTATTCTATTCTTTCTAAATTCTATTCTATTCTATTCTATTCTACATTATTGCTTATAAAATTTGAAAGCTTTTATCTATATTATGTGTTTCAAAAATTCAGTTATTTATCCTCATAAAGAAAGCATCTTGGAAAGATGTAGAGAAGCCAGGGCAGGTCCCCAATGGATGTCCCATCAGGAAACCAAAACCACTGTAGCTGGGGATGCTTGTGCTGTGCAGATTGTAAATACAGATGTTTTTAAATGCTGTTATTGAAATTTAGACTTCACATGTCTTAGATCACTCCTTTTCAGAATGCTACAGAGTTGAAAAAATATCAGTTCCCAATAATTTTTGCCCTGTCACCCTTTTTTGTGCTCAGTAAAACTCAGTGCCTGCATGTAAGCCTACAGTTAATGAAAAGCTTTATAGGTACTGCTATATCTCACCCGTTGTGACCAAACTGACATTTACCTTTGTCTCTGTAAACCATGCTGATGTGGAAACACATAATTTAACGGTTTGTGGATTTTTAAAATTCTTAACAGCTCCCCATAGATTTCAAATGTTGCCATTTTTATCTAAGTGCGAGAAAATGGCCAGTTCCTTAGTTACCCTTCTGACACTAATTTTGGAATTGTTAATAAGCTGTCCTAACCTAGCTTTTTGAAGCTGCATGGATTTCTCCCTCACTCTTCCTTTAGAAGCCAATAATAATTTCAGATTAACATTTTTAAAAAGCTTTAGTTGGTCCTAATCTAGAACTAATATTATGTGTGTTCTGCCTCCATTTAATTTCTCCTTTTCTGCGTTGTACAGTGTCCATTAACAGTGTACATTTCCATTGGTAGGAAATGAATCGGTTCCAGACTCTAACCAAAGTGGGATACTAGCCCAGCAACTCTACTAACCTAATGGTAGATGACCTGATCTTTTAACTACCTCTATTGCCAAACCAGCTGCCTTAATCAGTCTTAACCAATGTCAACAATTAGGTAATGTCTTATCTTAATCTTCCCACAATCTGTGTTTGTGTGCTTGAGTGTGTGTGTGTATGAGGAAGAGAGAGACAGAGTGTGTGCGTGAACATTGAAACTAACGGTTTTAAGATGTTGTAATCCCGTTTTTGATTAGAGCTTTGAGGTAGAAAGCAGTTGAAAAAGCTGAATTCATTTGTACTTCGATCTGGGTCAGAGTAGAGACAACATTATTTTTAGTCTTGAAAAACGATAAAAACTTGATTCTCATTACTAATACTGTATATGTCTGTCTGTGTGTGTGAGTATATTTCTATATTTCTAGGTAGGACCCCCCCCACACACACACACCAACATCCTTAAATATATCAAAATACCGCTTTTCTGATCACAACGAATATCTAAACTAGCTACCACAGACTCCCCTTTTCTGCACAATTAATACAAGAAGAAGAATAACAGTTTTAAGGCCTCATTTGTTAACTGTTGTCTGAGATCAGCCTCTTAAATTCTAATTTTGTCCCTACCCAGGGACTTCACATAACCCCTTGACCTAGAACGTGTTTGTGTGTCTCTGTGTGTATAAACTTAGAGAAATACATCCTTCGGTGATAGGGGTTGCCTAATTCTTCCCTGCTACAGTTGAGGTCCTTATGCTCTATTTTCTTCACTTCTGCAGGGAGCAACCAATTTTTAGCACCAGAGCCCACATTTTTCAGATTGATCCTGCCACCAAGAGGAACTGGATCCCTGCCAGTAAGCACGCCTTGACAGTGTCCTATTTCTATGATGCTACTCGCAATGTCTATCGGATCATCAGTGTGGGAGGCACCAAGGTGAGGCCTAAGGGTCAAGCAGCTTCTCCCCTGTCCAGTTTCTTGTTTTAAAACAATGATACTAGTAATGAAAAATAATTGCGATAATTATATTCTGTCCTTCTTTAAGGAAGTTAAGTTCTTAATACATTTTAATCATTCTTCATAACAGATTCTGTAGGGTGTATTAAGTTGAAATATGATAAACAGCCTCGTGTCAACCCAATGACCTTCATTGCCGAATGGGAATTTCTACCCATGTCTCCTGTGACATTGTGATCATACTGTTTTGGCTCTCCCAGAAAGATTTTTTTTAAATTAATGAAACAGTTTGATTTGGTCATGCAAAATTTCAAAGTATGCTTATTCAGATTTTCCAATTGTCTTGGTTTAGAGCAGGGGTAGGCAACCTTGGCTCTTTTATGACTTGTAGACTTCAACTCCCAGAATTCCTAAGCCAGCATGGCTCAGCTTGGAAACCTCTCCCTGTCCCCTCAGCATGGCTGGCTCAGGAATTCTGGGAATTGAAGTCCACGAGTCATAAAAGAGCCAAGGTTGCCTACCCCTGGTTTAGAGCCAATGAAGAACGTTTAAAAACATTTCCACCATGTTCATAATTGTGTGAGCAACTCTTCAAAGACTAAATTGTAAGCGTGATATGTGAGCTGTCCAGATACATTTAATTTGTTGTCGCTTGCCTGGGTATCCCTGCATCCGGCACCCATGCTTCTTATCATTTTTCAAAAACTATTCATGCAATTGCTAGTTGTGGAAATAACTCCTTTTCTAATCTGACTCTAAAAGTCTTGGTGTTTGTCTTCCTCATAGGCCATCATCAATAGCACCATCACCCCCAACATGACCTTCACAAAGACCTCGCAGAAGTTTGGCCAATGGGCAGATAGCAGAGCCAACACAGTGTATGGGCTGGGCTTTCCTTCTGAACAGCATCTCTCTCAGGTGATGACTTATAGGAACTGGATGGGGAAAAGACCATTTTACTAAAGTTTCTAAAGGACAGTTTGGATCCTACTAGCTTTTCCAAGAAAATATCGGCAGAGATCAGTGGGTGTTCTCATTTCTTCCATTGTTTTAAAGCTACAAAGACCAGTGTTTTAATCGCAGGGAGGATTTTACAGCTTTACAGAGTAACAAGATCAGTTATTGCAGCCAAATTAGATCAGTTTTCCCACCTTTCATGGTGTATTGGACTACGTCACCATCAATCCCAACCTGCAAAACCATTGCTTGGGAAAGAATAGGAATTCTACTTCCACAGATCTGGAGGCCAGCTGATTAGGGAAGGTTGATATAAACATGACTCATCTTTCTTAACAGTCCTTCTTTTGGACAAGAGGGAATAACCCCCCCCCCTCCCAAAGGCTTTCTTGATGTATCATTTAATATATTTTTGGCACTTACATTTTGAAAGTATTCTCATCATTATAAACTGACTTTTTTGCCTGCTGTTTTCTTTGAATTATCTCTTTATTACTTATAATACTCATTTTAATGTATTAAAAGTGTCTTTTTTTTCTCCTCACAATCATTCTGCGAAGTAGGTGAATGTAAGAGAAAGTACACAATACAGTATATGAGATTGTCTCAAGGTCATCCAGTGAGCTCCATGGCTAAATAGGGATTCAAAGCTGGGTTTCCTTAGTTTTAATCAATTTGTCTTGTACAAACAACCATGGGCACCTTTAATGATTCCGTAACATCGTCAAAGAATTCAGGCTGAAGAGTGAGGCCTAAAACTATAAAAAATAAAGCCGTTTGAGCAGATCTTCAGTTATTGGAAGACCTGTTCTGTGTGTTTGCTCCAGAGTGCAAATTGCAGGAAAGAGATTTTGAATAAACATTGGAAAAATTCCTTCTAGTGGCAATTGCTGATTAATGGTGGAACTGCCAGTCTGTATTCAGTAGCAATGGCTTATCTTGACTGGAAACACTTAAGCAGGGATGCTTTAATTGCAGTGTTCCTAACCAAAAGGGAAAATAAGAGGGATGAGGTGACAGCTTTCTTCTAACTCTAACTCAGAACCACTGTGAACGGCTGCTTCCCAACGTTTCCCATTATTGCAACAAAAGTGTTTGCTTAGGTAACAGTTAATTTGAAACTCAGTCCTAGAAAAGTGCTTATAGCTCTTAATTCGGCAGCCAAATCCTTACTCCTGTCCAGAAAACATTGATTTCCTATCATTCACAGTGTGGAAATCAATAGCCCTCAGCAAAAGAGAGGAAAGATGGCAGGAGAAAAGGAGAAGCTGATAATAGGAAGGTTGCGGTTTCACGGCTTAGTTTGGAAGTTCCAGAGCAGTAGATGACTTGTTGTTTTTTGGTGTTTTTTTTTGCATTTTGCATTTTGTTTGTCTTCTGTTCTGTATACTCTAAACACAGTTTGCAGCAAAATTCCAAGAAGTAAAAGAAGCCGCTCGCCTGGCCAGAGAGAAATCACAGGATAAAACTGAACTAACCAGCCCCGCCCTCAGTTTGACTTCCCACCAAGTAAGTCTGGAGGGACTAAGTCCCATATCCGTCGGTCCTTAGTGGGACGGCCGAATTCACTGCAAATTAAGCACGATTCAGGTCAAGGGCCTCTCTGTCAAGGACAGCAAATCTTTTCCGAAGTCAGAGCCCGTGGATTTAGAAAAAAGAAAAAGAAAAAAGCTCTTAGGCTCACATTTTGTTTTCACTGTTCTTTTTTATATATATATATATAATTTTTTATTAATTTTCAAATAAACAAATTCTTACAAATATGGTGTACATCATTAAAAAAAATACCATATTAAATATAATTGTGAAAGAATCAGAAGTGATCAGCCACCACCACCCCGCATCCGCCCTCTCTTACACCCTTCCTACCTACTTCCCTCTATCTCTTCTCCCCTCCTACCTACTCCTCTCTCCTCCTCCTCCCTTTCAACTACCCTACACATCCCACCTCCTTCCTTTCCTCATCCTTCGGATGCGATTTGGGGGTGTTAGCTGACCATCTCCTCTTCAAAGAATAAAAAATACATTATTTCTTTATAACATATTAATACACCAAATTTTACATATCTTTACCCCTTCATCCCCTTCCCCCACTGTTCTTTTTGTAAAGAAATTGCATAGTGCACAATTAGCGTCTGGTAGCGAATGGGGTATGATTTTGCGGGACTCTGAGAGGCTGCAAATAAAAAATAAAAAATGGCTGGGGAACTGCATGCAGCCAGCGTTCACAAGAAGTATCATCCATTTTGACTGGCAGTGGCTCTCCAGGATCCAAAACTGATCCTCCTCTCCCTGGCTGCCAGAGAGCCTTTTAATTGGAGATGTTGGGGACTGAACTGAAAACTTCTGCTGACAAGAAAGGTCCTTTACCGTTGAGATAAGCTTCTCTGACCCCAGCGATAGCAGATGCAAAGCTGAGTGTGCAGATACAGCAACAAAAAAAGTCAGGAAATCAGGTAACAGCAGAAGAGTCAGGCTTTGTGGCAGTAAGGCAGTTAAGAAACAATTTAATGAAGGGCTCTGAGCGCCAGCAAGAGAATGTCTTTAGCGCGCACACCCTGCCAGAGAGAGAAGTTCCCCGAGGATGGGGGCTCCAGCAGGAGTCCAAAAGCTCGGGAAACAAAATATCTGGTCCAGATTGGCTCCTGCAGAATGTCTTGCACTACCAGACAAGAAACGGGCTTTCTGAATTCATTCAACTTTAGCTTATAACAGTTTCTATTCCTGGGGGTCCCACTGCTTTAAGCGGACAATGGCAGAACTAGGAGGGTCTCTACACTCAGTTGTTTTTTTTCCTTTTTGGCTCTGCAGATTCCACAACTTGATTACTGATGTAGCTTAGTTTTGGATCCATACAATACACCGTATCGTAAACAGACAGGGTTTCACAGCATGCCAACCCACAGGAAAAAAAAAATATGAACCAAATTTGCTCAGTATGTTGCATGAGTGCAACCCCTAGGTTTAACTGACTCGGTTGAGTGTACCCATCCTATCAGTAGAGATCTCCTACAGCTTGGACTGTCTATTTAGGACAGACATGTCAAACACAAGGCCCGGGGGCCGGATGCGGCCCGCGAAGTGGTTTCATGTGGCCCGCGAAGACGTCCTGGAAACAGTGAGGGAACGGCCCCCGCTGCCTTGGCCCTGGCTCAGGCCGGCCGGGAGCCAATGTACACTTTTGTGGTGGCATCTATGCTGAAACGCATTCAGTCTTAGCTCCACAAGGCTGTCTGGAAACAGCAAAGGACCGGCCCCTGCCGCGTCGGCCCCACCCCCTGGGTGCATGCTGAGGAGGTGTCACCCTTTGTGAGGAATGAAGAAATGCACCATCGCCTGGAAGTGGCCAGCAAATGGCCCTTGCCTACTTCACATATCCGGCTTGATGGGCTCTGCCCTGGTCCCACCCCCTTCTCCCAGAGACCCTCAGATCTGTCCCGCTCCTGCCCAGGCCCCCACAGGCACCCTTGACGCGAATGATGTAGAGCTGGCCACGCCCACCCAGTAGGCCACACCCACTCCATCCACGACCACCCAGTAGGCCGCACCCACCCTGGCCACACACCCCCGCCCTCCCAGGGCAACTGCAATGCTGATGCGGCCCTCAATGAAATTGAGTTTGACACCCCTGATTTAGGATATGATCTGAGTGATTTACGTGCGTCCACAAATTATGCCTTTGATTTCCCCTGCCTCCTTGCTGCTTAGGAGAGAAGAAAGTAGACACCAGAGATTTATGGTTGGAGGACAGTCTCCTTCACACCACCACCAAGGGATGGCTGTTTTCCTCTGATCTCCTGGGTAACAGGGGTAGACGGATCTGGAGGATGAGAGGCATGTGTTCCCCAGGCTAGTCACAGATGGATTAGTAGTACACGAGGAGGAGGATGTCTGAACAGTCCATTGGCCTGGAGGAGACAAGAATATTAACTAACCCTGGAAAGAGAGCAGAGAGAGGAAGTTAATAGAATCATTGTCATGGTTCAGAAGTTCTAGCTGGGTGCTGAGATTAACCACTTGGAGATTGAGTGATTCAATTTGTTTGCCAGCCGTCTCACCCCAAGGTGACTCTGAGCGGCTTATAACAGTGAAAGCAATAACTCCATAGGCACATTTATCTAACTGCCATAAAAATACAGATTACAAATTATGACTAAAAGATGGGGAGGGAGGGAGTAGGATTGGTGGGAGGGAAGAAGGAGTTGGGATCTACTATTGGTCCATCAACAACCTCCAAGTGTGATGCTCTTCCATTGGGGCCCCAAGCCATCTAGCAGAGCCAGATCTTCAGGATCTGGTAGAACAGTGGTTCTCAACCTGTGGGTCGGGACCCCATTTGGGGTCGATCGACCATTTCACGGGGGTCGCCAAGCAAGGCTGTCCGCCATTTTTTTTGTTCGCCATTTTCCCCCCTTTTCCGGTGGGTGCCTTACCTCCCTTGGGCTGGGCCAGCTGGTGGTCGGCCTGCTCCGTCTCTGCCGCTTGCCAGCTATGCCTCGGCCGGCGTAGGGGGCGGAACCACGCATGCGAGGCGCTCCCGGGCAGGGAAAGTCCTCGACTTACCACCGGTTGGGTAGTCCTCGACTTACGACCGGTTGGGTAGTTCTCGACTTACGACCGGTTTAGTCCTCGACTTACAACCGGTTTAGTCCTCGACTTACGACCGGTTGGGGTCGCGTCATTAAAAAGGTTGAGAACCACTGTGGTAGAAGGTCAGGAGCGTGGAAAGTGACCTCACTTGGGGTGGGGTAAGGGAACAAGATGTTCCAAAGGGCAGGAGCCACGGCAGAGAAGACTCTTCTCTTGGACCCCGCCAGCCGGAATTCCCTGATGGCCCACAGCATGCCTTCTGTGCGGGCACGGATGGGGTGAATCGAGATGCTTTTTTTGTATTTGTATATGGGTGGGTGGGGGGGAGTGTAGAAGAATTGCTTAGCAAGCTGTCTTGAGGACAGCGAAGTCGACCCCTCCCTTCACGTGTTTGATTCTCATGTTCCTTTGCTTGACAGATTCTGGCCAGCCCCATCATTAGTTCCAATGGTCCCGGAGATGACAAGCTGTTCCGGAGCCAGAGTGCTGACATGGAGATGACAACAGAAAGAGAGCGCATTAAAAAGATGTTCTCTGAAGGGTGAGCCGCCAGTTAGGCAGTGATTCACATGGATACATATTCCGCATTTCATTTTCCACCGAGTGGTTTAACGAAAGCAAATGGCATTGTCAAGAAGATGCTAAGATACTGCTGTTTTATTTTTTAAATGCCAGTGAAGTTGTTGCTTTTGAGGACTATGTGTTGCTTTGGATTCAACCTTTTAAATTAAATGTCAGCCTTTTAAATTAAACCAGGTCAGGAAATAGACACCCACAAAAAATACTGGAACTCTATTGGTATAGGTCAGGGGTAAGCAACCTTGGTTCTTTTATGACTTGTGGACTTCAACACCCAAAGCTGGCTGAGGAATCCTGGGTGTTGAAGTCCACAAGTCATAAAAGAGCCAAGGTTGCCTACCCCTGCCTATAGGTCATAACATACAGTATAGAAAACCTGATAGTGTTTCTCTTTCCCTTCCTTGTACACTCAAGAGAATTGACATGGGGCAATCTGGAATTTCTTTTCTACTCTTTCCTGTCTTCTCAGGCTAAGTTGATGTTTTGATAATGCCCCTCACGTTTCTTGTTCAAGGCTGTCTCCACACACTTCTACAAAAGGTGCTTTAGAGCAGGGCTTTTCAACCAGTGGTACGGGTACCACCTGTGGTACATTGGCACCTGGCAGGTGGTACGCAACCATCCTAGAAAAGTGGTTGCGGGGGAGGGGAATGAGCTGAACCGGTGGCAGCACTGCACAAGCCTGAGCGAGAGACGGCTGGAGCTGCAGGGCTGTCAGGGCTCAGCGGAAGCACCAGGATCAGCGCCAGGCTCCAGCTGGAGCTCAGCACTGATCCTGGCACTTCTGCTGAGCCCAGAAGAGGCGCCGATCAGCTGGAATGTTGCAGCATCTCCAGGGTCTTGTGATTTACATTCAGATGCTTGGCAACTGATTCATATTTATTTATGACGGTCACAGTGTCCCAGGGTCATGTGAAGTGACCAAAACCTGCTGTAACCACCCAGCAGACGGGGGGAATAAAAACCAAACACCCCCCCCACCCCACCCCCGCTGCCAATCCTCAACAGAAATGCTCACAACAATGAAAACCTCAGACAGGAGGAAGAGCGCCACCAGGCGGGCGGGCAGGTGTCTTGCTCGGCTGTGGCTTGGGGGGGCACTTTTTTCAGTGCCATTGTAACTTCAAACAGTCATTAAGCGAACTGTTGTAAGTTGAGGACTACCTGTACTTTATCACTTTTTTCCTTTTTTTTTTTTTGGTTATCAAGTTTTTGACACCTTGCTAGGCGACTGGTGGTACTCAGATATTGCCATATCCTAAAAGTGGTACAATGGGTGAAAAGGTTGAAAAGCCCTGCTTTAGAGTACCCAGCGTGGGAAAAAATAGCGTGTATCTGCAATTCTTGAAAACAGCCACATTTTTTCCTGTGGATCACATGGCAGCTTCAAAGGCAGCTGTGTAGCCCCAGGAACAGATCGAACGGGCTTTTAAAGCATTGCAGACATTTGCCCTCTTGTGCACACCAGAGCACTTCCTTCTCTTTAAGTATACTATTTCCCCCCCCCTCTCTCTCACACACATACACACACACGCTTAGTTCTTTACTAATGGATGAAATACTGATTTTTTTTTAGAGTGCCACATTCAGCTCGTGATGAAGATATTTCCTGCTTTGCTCCTTCAGTATTCACCCTGCGACACACTTTGCTCCTGCTAAATTCAGATCACTAGGAAAATGTCTAAAATTAAATGCTAAATTGGAGTATGTGCTGATTACTGTGGCACTCATTTCCTTCCATTCACTGGCATAATTCTCTCTATTATCGGTGTGTGTTTGCGTATTAATAAATACCTGCAAAAAAAACCTCTAACATGATTGCAAAGAAATAGGGGTTTTTTTTGTAGTTTTTATCAATATTGTGCACTTTGCACACACAGATACAGTTCTACGCATAGCCACAACAATATTGTCTTTTGCAGTGTTTGTGAAATGAACATTTGCTAATGCAGAGAAAGCATAGCTTTCTCACAAAACTTTCAGTTTCTTACTAATTTTATGTCGTGTGGTATTGCTCCTCTTGGTTTTGTTTTTATTTTGTTACAAGCCGTTCTAGGAACTTTTAATTCACTGATGCAGTCTGAGAAATCTTGACTGCAGCCTCCAGAGGCCTCTAAAATTTGTTATTGAGCTGTCATTTTTCACGGGAGTGGGCAAAAATGTTTTGAAATGGGTTACTGCAGCATAGACAAACCGTGTCCAATACGAACGGCACGTGAATTCAACGAAGTCAATTTTAACTTTTGTTCGGACCTCCTGCGCTATTTTTTTTTCAAAGGTCGCCATAATTACACCGACTCCATCACCAGAGGTGATCGTTAGTCCTGATGAAATTGTGCCACCTTGGTTTATGTTGAAAAGCTACCCTAAAAATGCACTAAAAGAAACAGAGATCGCTCCAGGTTCATCGCTTCTGCTTTGGAAATATGAGCGAATCCTTTTAGAATCCCCCAAATCAAAGGACAAATTCACTTTCAGAAAATTTTAATGCAGCTGGGAATGCAGAAGAAAGTGGTGTGGCAGTCACCGCGCTGCTAAGCTGCTTATGTGTTCTACATGTGACATGTCTGATGTCACATGTAGAATTGTTGTCAGACAAATTAGCTACAGTATCAGGGTGTTCTCGTCCCGTTTCTTTTTTTGCAGTTACATCCCCCCCCCCGGGCTCTGTAGTTATGCTAATAATAATAATAATAATAATAATAATAATAATAATAATAATAATAATAATAATAATAATAATAATAATAGTAAAGTTGGAAGGAACCTTGAAGGTCATCTAGTCCAACCCCCTGCTCAGCCAGAAAACCCTATACCATTTCGGACAAATGGCTGTCCAGTCTCTTCTTAAAAACTTCCAGGGTTGGAGCATTCACAACTTCTGGAGGCAGGTTGTTCCACTGGTTAATTGTTCTAACTGTCAGGAAGTTTCTCCTTAGTTCTAGGTTGCTTCTCTCCTTGGTTAGTTTCCATCCGTTGCTTCTTGTCCTGCCTTCAGGCGCTTTGGAGAATAGCTTGACTCCCTCTTCTTTGGGGCAGCCCCTGAGATATTGGAACACTGCTATCATGTCTCCCCTCTTCCTTCTCTTCATTAAACTAGACATACCCAATTCCAGCAGCTCCATTATCAAAATCCTGGGAAGGAAAGTAAAGCATTGGATTTTGGTTATTAGTTCATTCTGTTTTTCCCAAAAACATGCCCCCCCAAATGAGTCAGGACTTGTGATACAATTTATTCATTTCCTTAGTCTTAACCCAGACATAGATTCCCTCTGTTTGTTTTTTCCCCCCCTAACCCGATATATCACAACAAGGGAATATACCTGGTTCTTTTTCTTTTTCCTTTTAACACAGAGTATAGTGTGCTTAACAAGGGAAGGCATATCACATGTGTTTAGAAATACCAGCGCCAGTAAGTTGAAAGCTGGCGATGGTTAACTTGTTTCCATGCAACTTGGCCACACGGTTAATTTTTGCCGCGTTGTGGCAGCTGGTGCCTCTGAACACTAAAGGTAAATATTAATTTTGAAAAACTAGCTTCCCTTTGGGGAAACAGTGTGTCTTCAGAGTTGCTCTACTGCAGTTCCCCAGAGTTTTTGTTCCTGGTAGAAGGCAAGATTTTATGTTCTGCTAAATTGATAATACTGTATTTTAATAGGGTTTTTACTTGGTTTTGTGAGCTCCGAGACATGTTGGTGACAACCATATTAATTCAGTGAAACTTTCCTTCCCTACCTATCAGAAATAAATCTTGAAAGCAATATGAGAAACCGCAGTTAATTCGGATACAACTGTTTAATTGCTCATTGGGTGTGGGTATTTTTAGAGGCTGTTTTATTCCGCCCGTTACTTTGAAATTCAGGATAACTATCTCCACGTATACCTGCCCTCGAAGCCCTTGTTAGAAATCCTTCTCCAACTTTGTTGCCCTTCATTTTTATTAACAACTGATTGATGGAAAATATGTCAGCTGCTGTAGGAAAGAGAGAAAGGTACAAGAAGTGTTAATACCACTTTACAATGCCTTGGTAAGGCCACACCTGGAATAATGCATCCAGTTTTGGTCACCGCGATGTAAAAAAGATGTTGAAACTCTAGAAAGAGTACAGAGAAGAGCAACAAAGATGATTAGGGGACTGGAGGCTAAAGCATATAACAGTGGTGGCGAACCTATGACACGCGTGCCAGAGGCGACACTCAGAGCCCTCTCGTGGGCACGCATGCCATGCCCCAGAGATGGCAACCGTCCCTCTTCAACCAGCCGCCCGCTAACTGGCCGAGGTCCCACATGGCCGGATGCATCCCAGCACCCATGCGCTCGCTAGCTTCTGTGTGCAGGGGCCAATGGTGTCAGGCAGCAGCCGCCCCGGCCCCTGCCTCGCCTTGCCCTGCGACAATGGCATCCCCGCCCTGCCTTACCTCACCTTACCCCACAGGACGAGCCTCCTGCCCACCACCCTACCTGCCAGAGACCCCCTGGACCTCCCCCAACCCTGCCCGGCCCCCACAGACGTCCCTCCCCACGAGCAACATCGAGGTGATCACACCCACATTGGCCACACCCACCCAATCTGCCATGACCACCACAGCCACGCCCATCCAGTGGGCCACGCCCACCTGGCACCCAGCGATAAAAAAGTGGGTTTTAGGTTGCAGTTTGGGCATTCGGTCTCTAAAAGGTTCACCATCACTGACCTAGAATTAAGGAGAAACTTCCTGACAGTGAGAACAATTAACCAGAGGAACAACCTGCCTCCAGAAGCGGTGAATGTTCCAACGCTGGAAGTTTTTAAGAAGAGACTGGACAGCCATTTGTCTGAAATGGAATAGGTTCCCTGCCTGAGCAGGGGGTTGGACTAGATGACCTTCAAGGTCCCTTCCAACTTTTTATTATTATTATTATTATTATTATTATTATTATTATTATTATTATTATCATCATCATCATCATCATCATCATCATCATCATCATCATCATCAGTAAAATACTTAGAATGCTTTGCATGATTCCTGTCCCTGTGTCTCCCAGGTCTGTTTGCGAAGTCCAGTGGGAAGCCGAATTTTTCACTCTGCAAGACAATAACAACAAACTGGTGGCTGCGTTGCATGAAGCTAATGCCAGTGTGGAGCAATGGAAGCAGCAGCTGGCGGCATATCAGGAGGAGACCGAAACGCTGCGCCAACGAGTGAGTGGAGGTCCAAGAGGTTTATTCAAGGTTCTCCGATAGAGGAGGGATAAGGAAGTAGGGCATCCTCATCCTCACGGCGCCTATCGGCCTGACCAGTGGGGCCCTCTCCCGCCAAACTCCTTTGAGGCCTACAGAGCTAGTCCTTGACTTACAACAGCTCGTTTAGTGACCATTCGAAGTTACAATGGCACTCCAAAAAGTGACCTACGACCATTTCTCAGATTTGCAACCATTGCAGCATCTCCGTGATCACATAATCAAAATTCAGGCGCTCGGCAACTGACTCGTATTTATGACGGTTGCCGTGTCCCGTGATCATGTGATCCGCTTTTGCCACCTCCTGACAAGCAAAGTCAATGGGGAAGCCAGACTCACTTAACAACCCTGTGACTAACTCCGTGGTGGCGAACCTATGGCACGTGTGCCACAGGTGGCACGCAGAGCCATCTCTGTGGGCACACGCGCCGTCGCCCCAGTCCTAGGCCTTCAGCTGGGTTTTATAAAACCTTTTTGCTTTAGGCCTCCGCCGCCGTGTGCAAAAAAAAAAAAAAGGTTCAATCAATCAATCAATTTCAACTTCTCTCGGGGGAAAAAAAAGATCTCGCTAAGTTGGAATTGATTGATTGAACTTTTTAGCCCCACCCAGTCTGCCGTTCTCACCGCAGCCACGCCCACCCAATGGGCCATGCCCACCCAATGGACCACACCCACCCAATGGGCCACGCCCACCCGGCACCCGACAATACATAAGTGGGTTGCAGTTTGGGCACTCGGTCTCTAAAAGGTTCGCCATCACTGGACTAACTTAACAGCTGCAGTGATTCACTTAACAACTGTGACAGGAAAGGTTGCAAAATGGGGCAAAATCAACTTAACAACCGTCTCACATAGCAACAGAAATTTGGGGCTCCGTGGTGGTCATAAATTGAGGGCTACCTGTAGAGGTTTGTTGAAAACCTGACTCTTAGCATTGCAATCCCAATTGTCATTTTCGGCGTTTGTAAAGCTTCCGGTCCAACAAATGAAAGAAGGGTAACTTCAAACAGTCACTAAATAAACTGTTGTAAGTCAAAGACTACCTGTTGGAAAAGAAATGCCTCTCTAATGGCACGATAAATGCAATCAATTTAGCTTCTCTCTATAGAATTTTGCAATATAAAACATACATGCTGCTGTCTGGCTTTGAGGTTGCACACCAAATTCTTATGGAGCCTTGGTTTCCTGTAAGGCCTTGGTGAGGAAAGGGCACCACGGGGAAGCACTTCTGAGGTTGTACGTGCTATTTTCTCCCCAATCCCTGCTTTGTTCTACTTAATGACAACCAGCTAGTGCTGAGCAGTGGCAAACAGACTTTTTCCTACTTACTGTCTAAACCAGTGGTGGCGAACCTATGGCACGCGTGCCAGAGGTGGCACTCAGAGCCCTCCCTGTGGGCACGCGCACCATGCCTTGGAGATGGCAACTGTCCCTCTTCAACCAGCCACCCGCTAATTCGCCGAGCTCCCATGTGGCCGGATGCATCCCAGCATGGCTGGTTTCCCTCCCCCCCATCCCATCCCTCCTGGCCTCGCATGCTCTCCTTTTCCTGGGCACGACCCACTGTATCGCCTCCTCAGCTGTTGGCTGGCCGTCCAGCTCAGAGGCGGCTTCTCTGAACTGCTGGCGGTGGGCTGCGGAGCCCCAGAGTGAGCCGGTTGAGGGGCTGGCAGTCTGTGGTTGCTGACGGACACTGTTGGTCCCCATGCGCTTGCTGGACTCTGTGTGCAGGGGCCAATGGTGTCAGGCAGCAGCCGCCCCGGCCCCTGCCTCTCCTTGCCCCACGGCAATGGCACCCCCATCCTGCCTCGCCTTGCCTTGCCTCACCCCGCAGGACGAGCCTCCTGCCCACTGCCCCACCTGCCAGAGACCTCCTGGATCTCCCCTAACCCTGCCCAGCCCCCACAGATGTCCCTCCCCATGAGCAACATCGAGGTGACCACGCCCACCTTGGCCACACCCACCCAGTCTGCCATGACCACATCCATGCCCACCCAGTGGGCCACGCCCACCCAGCACCTGGCGACAAATAAGTGGGCTTTGGGTTGCAGTTTGGGCACTCGGTCTCTAAAAGGTTCGCCATCACTGGTCTAAACATTGCTACTAAAGTCTGCTAAAGACATGCGAGTTTTAAGAAAGGCGGCTCAGAGCCTACTTTGACTTTCTTTTAACCTTCATTCATAATGTTTATCTACTGCAGCAGCTTTGCTACACTTGAGAATCTGTGTGCGGCAAAACAGATTTTATTTGTAGATCAATCCAGCCCCGCTTGATGCTCTTTGCCATTCAGGCTGATTTGGTAATGAATGAAGCCATCATTTGCTTTCCAACTTCTCCTACTCCAAACATTCCTTCCTAGAATTTGGGGTTCCAAATTACTCGGACATTCAGTAATTCCAAAGCTCTGCTGATAAAACTTCTGGCTTTGATATATAAGAGCAATTCTGTGAATGAATAGAGAGATTTCTGGCTTTAAGAAAGCTGATAAAGCATATGTTTGCATTTGTGTTTGTGTGTGTGTGTGTCAGAGAGATTGAGAAGAAATAGCAGTGATTGCGCTTGAAAGAAATGAAAGGGTACAGAAAAGTCGAAGCACACGTCAGGAGAATAGCCTAAATTTCAGGCAGAAATAATTGTACGTTTCCTAGTAATCTTGCCATCTGAACTGTTGGATGCATCATTCTTGTTCAACAAATTGTCTCTTTATTGATGCGGAATATGGGAGGAATCATCTGGTGTGAGATTTTACTTCTGTTTTCTGCTGGTGTTATGTACATAGAAGCTGAATAAGTATGGGCTATTCTCTGCCCTTGCTAATTACATACAGTATTGTACCAGTAGTTCTGGAAAGTCCCTGCCTTTTGATAGGTATAGATACGTAGAGATATAGGAATTATATGTATTACGTACATTACTGCATTTCATGCTGATAGAAGTAAGTCTTCATCCTGGTTCGTCCAAGCCTGGAATAAATAAGCAAACATGGCGACTGCTTTGGGAAGAAGGTTACAGTTTATTGCAGAAGAAAGATGGTCCTTGCAAGAAGGAGCAGAGGAGAAAAAAGAGACTGGGCACATGGGTAGAAGGTTTTTACACCCCCTCTAGCCCTGTTTGGAATAGTTTCCTGTTCCTGTGGCATGAACTTTGAGGCTATTTCTGAGTGTTTTTCTAGGCCTTGATATCTGTGGTTTAATCCGATTATCATATCCTGCTTCCCAGGTGATGGGGCTAATGACTCCTAGAGTTTGGGTGGGGCATGCAGATTTTCTCTTTGTCTTCTTGATTGCTCTGGCTTCAACTTTCTGATGGTTTTACATCTGCATTTGTATGGGGCTAGGTCTTGCTTGGGGCAGAGAGATTTGGATCCAAAGTTGGTTTCTGCTTTTTAAAATACTTTTGAGGAAATATATATTTCTGCCCTTTTAATATTTCCTTCTCTGGGGCTCTGACTTCCCACAATGCTTTTCTCTCTTCCTCTTTTTGCCTTTTGCCTTTTTGATGTCGTGCTGATTTTAATATAGCATCAAGCTATATCTTGCTAGCTGTGCCACAAGTATGCTTACTCTGGTCTGGATATAGGGACTGACTGGGAGAGCTCTGGATGCAAATTAAACTGGAAATTATCCACCGTAATTTCTCAGCATGAATTATATTACATTAGAAAAGGGCTGCAGGGGTTTTATTGGGCTTAAGGTTATGGCATTTAGGGAAAAGAACTGAGTATCAGTGGTTTGAGAAAGAATCTAATCCAGTGGTTCTCAACCTATGGGTCGCGACCCCATTTGGGGTCGATCCACCATTTCATGGGGGTCGCCAAGCAAGGCTGTCCGCCATTTTTTTCCCCCTTTTCTGGTGGGTGCCTTACCTCCCTTGGGCTGGGCCAGCTGGTGGTTGGCCTGCTCCGTCTCTGCCGCTTGCCAGCTACGCCTCGGCCGGCGCAGGGGGCGGAACCACGCATGCACGGCGCTCCCGGGCAGGGAAAGTCCTCGACTTACGACCGGTTGAGTAGTCCTCGACTTACAACCGGTTTAGTCCTCGACTTACGACCGGTTTAGTCCTCGACTTACGACCGGTTGGGGGTCGCGGCATTAAAAAGGTTGAGAACCACTGATCTAATCAGTCACTAACTTTCTTTTAAGACATATAAAACTCCAGAAATTTTACAGTCCTCCTGTTCAGAACAAACATTCTAATATAGGAACTCAAGTATGGAAAGTGGATGGACTGTCACAAGCAAATAAAAGATTATGCAGATGGAGGTCCTATCCTCCACTTATCTCCCTTAAGCAGAGCATTGAGCATAAATGAGGGTATTGCCGCTTAGCATCCAGGTCTTTCAGGGTGGTTTGTGGGTAGAAGACGATCCATTTTGTGGTCTTTTTGTCATAAAGATTGTTCGCAGTTCATCTCAAATCCCTGTCTTTTTCAGACTCAAGTTTGTGGTCATGATTATTTGGTAGCCCATCACTTTTCAACAATTCTGCTGACAGTGTCCTAATTAACTCCATTCTCCTTCTCCCCAATTTCCCGTAGGTGGCAGAGCTGGAAGCCCAGAGAGGCCAAAATTCCTCAGGCGATGTCAGGAAAGAGACCTGCCCGGCTTTAGAAGAGCTGGAACAGTTGGTGAAGGCCAAAGATGAGGTCAGTAGTTGCATCCCAGATCTCTCAGCTGCCACTCTAGAGCAGAGCTTATACATTCAGAAGTCCACAATTAAAAACAAGAGGGGAGATTCTCTGGGTGGTCTTAGATAAGTAATTATATGATAAAGGAGAATATTTGTAGCTCAGGGGTGACCTGAAGGGGTCCTTGGTGCTCTCTGAGCTTGCTTGTTTCCTTGCAGACGTTTCACTACCCCAACTAGGTAACATCATCAGTGGCAGTAAGTAATTCTCTGCATCTCATTCTGCAAGATTAGATTAGTAATAACCCTCTATTTGCAGATTGGAACAAAAAATGACTTGGGCTGTGTTTGCCAGTCTGTTTCGAGGTTAAATTCAAAAGCGCTGTTATTAACTTACAAAACTAAACATGGCGTGCAGGTGGCTTATTTGTTGGTTTGCCTCTGCACATCTACCCATCCCATCAGATCCACCGGAAAGGGCATGTTGTGGGGTCCCATTGATTACAGAACAGAATTAACAGAATAACAGAGTTGGAAGGGACCTTGGAGGTCTTCTAGTCCAACCCCCTGCACAGGCAGGAAACCCTACACCATTTCAGACAAATGGCTGTCCAGTCTCTTCTTAAAAACGTTCAGTGATGGAGCACCCACAGTTTCTGGAGACAAGCCGTTCAACTGGTTAATATTCTCACTGTCAGAAAAAAATTTCTTAGTTCTGTGTTGCTTTTCTTCTTGATTAGTTTCCATCCGTTGCTTCTTGTCCTGCCTTCAGGTGCTTTGGAGAAGAGGTTGACCCTGTCTTCTTTGTAGCAGCCCCTTAGATATTGTAAGACTGCTATCTGAATAACAAAGTTGGGATCTTGGGTGTCATCTAGTCCAACCCCTTGCTCAGGCAGGAAACCCTATACCATTTCAGACAAATGGCTGTCCAGTCTCTTCTTAAAAACTTCCACTATTGGAGCATTCACAGCTTCTGGAGACAGGTTAATAATAATAATAATAATAATAATAATAATAATAATAATAATAATAATAATAATAATAATAATAATAATAATAATAATAATAATAAAGTCAAAATTGAGAAGACAGCAACAGACAGTAAGTGCCGCCTATGCAAAGAAGCTGAAGAAACAGTGGACCACCAGGTAAGCTGCTGCAAGAAGATTGCACAGACTGACTACAAGCAGCGGCATGACAAAGTAGCAACAATGGTGCATTGGAAGATCTGCAAGAAATATCATTTGCCTGTAAGCAAAAACTGGTGGGATCATAAAACAGAGAAAGTCATAGAAAATGATAAAATTAAACTGCTCTAGGACTTCAGAATTCAAACAGACAAGCACCTGCAACATAACACCCCAGACTTAACAATTGTCGACAAGAAAGACAAAAAAGTCTGCAGTGGACGTGGCAGTGCCTGGGGACAGCAGAATAGACGAGAAAGAACTGGAGAAGATAACAAAATACAAAGACCTACAAATAGAAATAGAAAGACTGTGGCAAAGGCAAGCAAGGGTAGTACCAATAGTAATAGGCGCCTTGATATGCATTAATAGTTATATAACTAAAATGTGTAATGTTAGAATTGAAATGTATGTATGTTAATGCATTTTATGTTTGAAAGATGTATAATTTTTTCTATTTTAAAAATAAAAATTTTCAAAAAAAAAAAAAAAAAGTAATAGGCGCCTTGGGTGCAATCCCGAAACAACTGGAGCACCACTTGAACACCATTGGCATTGACAAATTCACCATTAGTCAATTGCAAAAGGCGGCCTTACTAGGAACCGCTTCCATCTTGCGACGATATCTGTAATACCATCAAACATCCACATCTGCCGATCCCAGGTCCTGGGTAAGCACTCGATAGGTAGACAAAATGCCAAATCCAGTCTGAACATCTGGCTGAACATCTGGCTTATTATGATCAATAATAATAATAATAATAATAATAATAATAATAATAATAATAATATTTAAGCAGTGTCATCTGACGGGATGCAGGAGGAGACCCTTTTCTGCCACAGCACCTGCCCTTTACAACACTGTCTCCACCCACCCACCCAGGGAGATTAAATTGGACTCAAGCCTGCTTGCCCTTTGAAAGATTGTAAAAACATGGTTTTGTCAACTGACCCGGAGATCTGGTCACAGTTTGGAATTTGCTAGATGGTTATACTGACTGATCCATGAGTTGCCTGCTTTTTATGCTTTTCGCTTTTAATCTGAGTCTTAATCAGTTCTGTTTATTATTTGGTTTTCAGGATGATTGCGTTGTTACTCTTTTCCTCCACTTTATTTATTGTTTGTGTTATTTGGTTCTCTTTTTTTAACTACGTGGGCCACCCAGAGTCACAAATGTGAGATGGGCAGCTGTACAAATATAATATAAACAAATAGCTACAATGAGCCAGCCTAGAATACAAAGCCAGGTCACACAACGTGTTCACTGATCAGAGGGTTTGAATCCACAATTTTGGGTTAATTGAGTCAATTAGAGGGAAGCTACTTGCTCTTCGGTGGCAAAGGCTCCCGGAACACCCGAGGCATTTCCTGGAGAAACTGGATGGAGCGTCTGCATTATCCTAATTGTCAGCTTGATTAATGTGACGGTGCTGCCAGAATCCCTGGCAAGGAGATTTGGCTGGGCTAGCAGGTGATCAAATTAAACTGTGCTGAGGAAACAGTACTTCAGGAGTCACTGATGCTGGCTTGCTTTTCTGTCCTTTACTGCAGTAATTAGAATTTGCATGTTTCTAATATCCAAGGTGATTATGCTGGGGGCTCATTACCAACCTTCCTTTTCCTGGAATTGTGCAGGAGAGATAAGTAGCCTAAAATACGTCTGAAGTGTCTGAGAACATGTGTGAACCTCTGCCTATATTTGTTGATACAATAAGATGCTGAGACTCTAGAAAGAGTACAGAGAAGAGCAACAAAGAGGATCAGGGGACTGGAGGCAAAAGCATATAAGGAACGGCTGCTGGAATTGCGTATGTCTAGTTTAACGAAGAGAAGGACGAGGGGAGACATGATAGCAGTCTTCCAAGATCTCAGGGGCTGCCACAAAGAAGAGGGAGTCAAGCTATTCTCCAAAGCACCTGAAGGCAGGATAAGAAGCAACGGGTGGAAACTAAGCAAGGAGAGAAACAACCTAGAACTAAGGAGAAACTTCCTGATAGTGAGAACAATTAACCAGTGGAACAACCTGCCTCCAGAAGCAGTGAATGCTCCAACACTGGAGGTTTTAAAGAAGAGACTGGACAGCCATTTGTCCGAAATGGTATAGGGCAGTGATGGTAAACCTTTTAGAGACCGAGTGCTCAAATTTCCACCCAAAACCCACTTATGCATCGTCGGGTGCTGGGTGGGTGTGGCCATTGGGTGGGTGTGGCCCATTGGGTGGGTGTGGCTGCAGTGGTAACAGCAGACTGGGTGGGACTAAAAAGTTCAATCAATCAATTCCAACTTTGCAAGATCTTTTTTTTTCCCGCGAGAAGTTGAAATTGACTGATTGATTGAACCTTTTTTTTTTTTTTTTGCACACGGCGGCGGAGGCCTAAAGCGAAAAGGTTTTATAAAACCCAGCTGAAGGCCTAGGACCGGGGTGACGGTGCATGTGCCCACAGAGAGGGCTCTGAGTGCTGCCTCTGGCACCCGTGCCATAGGTTCGCCACCACTGGTATAGGGTTTCCTGCCTGAGCAGGGGGTTGGACTAGATGACATCCAAGGTCCCTTCCAACATTGTTGTTGTTGTTATTGTTATTATTATTTACAAATGGGAGCCAGTGTGGACAGAGGTGCGCACTCTCATTACACACAGCAAGCAAAGCAAGTGGCCTAGCTAGTAATTGCATTACTGATGCATTATTGATGCACTACTATATTATTACTGATTCTGAGGCGTACGAGCCCTCTTTCGCTATTCAGAAACAGAGCTTGACAACCTTTTGCCTCCAGCTACTTCCTTGCTTATTATGCCTTCAATGAGCCCAGATGGAGAAGAGACTCAGCCAGGGACAGAAATGCTCAGGGGAAACCACACAAGAATAAGGAGCGCTCCATTCATGCACACAATGACTGCAGTTGCCTGTAAGGGAGACACAAAGCTAAAAAGCAGGAAGAGATGAGAATAGGATCCAACTCACTATTTGCAAAGAAAGAAAAAAAAAAACCCAAAACATACAGCTTTTGAAAACTTAAATCCACATTGCATACCTCCACAATTCACCAGCATGTAAAAGTGGACAAAATGACAGTATACACCCCAAATTCTTAACCTGGTTAACCACTGCTCCGGTCCTTGCAGCTTTCATCTACCATCACTTAATCATGCTAATTGAGTCAGAAACTATTATTTGGGGGAACATTTCTACCTAGCTGCAATCAAATTACCCTAAGCAGTTTGATTATGATTTTGTTCCATTACATCAGTGTCAACTGCTAGTGAACAGCTGAGATTTTTTCCCCCCCAGAATAATCTGTTTTCTAATTGGTCCATCGGGCTTTCCAGACTTTACACCACTGTTTTAATCAAGTCCATCCATCTTGCTGCTGCTCATTCTATTTTTCCCTTTTTTCCCACTTTTCCCAGCATTGCAGACTTTTCTGTAGAGCTATGTCTTCACAAAATATGATCGTTTGAGCCTGGTCATTTGTGTCTTGAGTGAAAACTGTGGATTGATTTGTTTTCTATGATGCATTTGTTCGCCTTATTGGCTGCCCATATTATTCTTAGGAGTCTTTTCCAAATCAAAGGTCAAAATCTTCAGTACTCTTTCTATCCTGCTTCTTCAAGGTCCAACTTCCACTGCTTATAGGTGGAAATCATTGCATGCACAATTCTGATTTTGTATGGGATTGACTTGCCCCATCCATGCAGGCAGAGGAGGCAGGCTGCAGGCCCCATCGGCCAGAGAATTCTGGCTGGTGGGGTCCAGGAGGAGGGTCTCCTCTGCTGTTGTGCCTGCCCTCTGGAACATCTTGCCCCTCCCCCCCCAGCGAGGTCAGCTCCAATCACATGAAGTATTAATACCACTTTACAATGCCTTGGTAAGGCCACACTTGGAATACTGCATCCAGTTTTGGTCACCACGATGTAAAAAAGATGCTGAGACTCTAGAAAGAGTACAGAGAAGAGCAACAAAGATGATTAGGGGACTGGAGGCTAAAACATATAAGGAACAGTTGCTGGAATTGGGTATGTCTAGGTTCATGAAGAGAAGGACGAGGGGGGACATGATAGCAGTCTTCCAATATCTCAGGGGCTGCCCCAAAGAAGAGGGAGTCAAGCTATTCTCCAAAGCACCTGAAGGCAGGACAAGAAGCAATGGATGGAAACTAATCAAGAAGAGAAGCAACCTAGAACTAAGGAGAAACTTCCTGACAGTGAGAACAATCAACAAGTGGAACAACTTGCCTCCAGAAGCGGTGAATGCTCCAACACTGGAAGTTTTTAAGAAGAGACTGGACAGCCATTTGTCTGAAATGGTATAGGGTTTTCTGCCTGAGCAAGGGGTTGGACTAGATGACCTCCAAGGTCCCTTCCAACTTTATTATTATTATTATAGTTGAACCCTCCTGATCTTCCATGAGAGCCTATAGATCTGACTCTGCCAGTGGGCTTGGGGCACCAAAGGAGGGGCTTCATGTGGGAAGTGGTTAATAGATTAATATCAGATCCCCCTCCCCCACTCATCCTACTCCCTCCCTCCCTGATACAATTTGCATTCCATGCCCAGGGAATCTTCCCTTAATGTTCTCACGATTGCCAGGTTCATTCATTTGGATTTTTTGAGAGGATACAGAGATTTGTAAACGTGGTTTGTCTTCCCAGTTTATGGCATCTGTTTCTTTTGAACAAAATACCTTAAGCTTAAAACTACACCTCCTGACTTGAGCGGACGAGAAGGTTCACACAACATCTGGACCGTGAAGAGATCCCATTACCCGTATTATGTGAATCTTCCATTGAGCGGGATTTATTTTATTTTTTTTACCTTCCTCTCTGTTTCCAAGCTCAGTCCCTGATCCTCAGTGCCAAGTACTGGAAAGAGCAGCCATGATTGGGAGATGATTGTCCCCCCCCCAAAAAAATCTTCCACTTCATCTGAAAGTTTAATCTGCCCTGTTTCCAAAAATAAATTGTGGAAGTATGAATTACATTTTTCACGCTCAGTTTTGTTTTAACATAGCTTCTCCATTTTCTTTCACGATATCCTCCCCGCCCACTCATGATTCAGGAGCTTCAACAACTGAGAAGCCAAAAGGGCCTTCAACAGCAACCGGATGATGAATATGAGGAAACCCGCCAAAAGGTGCAGGTAACAAAGATAACGGCGGGTGAGAAATGATTATGGAAAAAGTCCAAGGGAGGACATGACGAAATACCTGTGAAACGTAGAAACGGGGTGGGTTTCTTTGCCACCACGCAGCTTTTGTTGTGAACAGTTCTGATGTGATTCATGTCTTTGTTTCTTCCTGGTTGGCTTTCCTCTTGACCGTCTGGTTTAGATTATTTGTCATAAGCTATGATCATAGATGATTAGATGGTATGATTATGAATATTTGAAGCCACCTCATGCCAGATCAGATGCCTCTAGCTCAGAATATCCCCAACTTTGTGTGGGTTCCCAGAGATAAAAGTTTTCCCAGTTCTACCGTAGCAGAGATCCTTTTACGGAGGAGATCCCTGGGGGGAGTGGGGGAAGTCAGCCTTAGAGCAGGGCTTTTCAACCTTTTCACCCGTTGTACCACTTTTAGGATATGGCAACATCCGAGTACTACCAGTCGCCTAGCAAGGTGTCAAAAACTTGATGACCCAAAAGAAAAAAAAAGAAAAAAGTGATGAAGTATAGGTAGTCCTCGACTTACAACATTTCGCTTAGTGACTGTTCAAAGTTACAATGGCACTGAAAAAAAGTGCCCCCCCCAGCCACAGCTGAGCAAGACACCTGCCTGCCCACCCGGCGGCACATTTGTGAGCATTTCTGTTGAGGATTGGCAGCGGGGGTGGGGTGGGGGGTGTTTGGTTTTTATTCCCCCCCGTCTGCTGGGTGGTTGCAGCAGGTTTTGGTCACTTCACATGACCCTGGAACACTGTGACCGTCATAAATATGAATCAGTTGCCAAGCATCTGAATGTAAATCACAAGACCCTGGAGATGCTGCAACATTCCAGCTGATCAGCGCTTCTTCTGGGCTCAGCAGAAGTGCCAGGATCAGTGCTGCTTTCCAGCTGATTGGTGCTTCTTCAGGGCTCAGCAGAAGCACCAGGATCAGCGCCGAGCTCCAGCTGGAGCCTGGTGCTGATCCTGGCGCTTCCGCTGAGCCCTGACAGCCCTGCAGCTCCAGCCATCTCTCGCTCAGGCTTGTGCGGTGCTGCCACCAGTTCAGCTCATTCCCCTCCCCTGCTACCACTTTTCTAAGATGGCCACGTACCACCTGCCAGGTGCCAATGTACCACAGGTGGTACCCGTACCACTGGTTGAAAAGCCCTGGCCTAAGAAGCTCAGGTTCCTCTTCAGGGAGTGCCCAAGCCAGGCCTGACCAAGCTGACGGGTGTTTGATTCGCAGGACTCCTCCTTTCTCTTTCCTTAGGAGCTAGAGAGACAGAACGCAGAGCTGGAGCGGCGCTTGCATCTGGCCGAACAGGCCCTCTCGGAGACCCTTTCCGAACGGGAGAAGATGCACCAGGAGGTAGCTAAATTGGCAGAGATCATGGACATGAAAATATTTGAGCTGAGCGAGCTCAGACAAGACTTGGCTAAACTTGTGGAGAGCAACTGAAACCAGGAAACGCCGTAGAGGAAGAGCGCAACCCTCCTTTAACACCAGCCTGGCGGGCGTGGACGATCGGTGTGGATAAGAAGTGAAGACGGCTGGACTTGTCCAGCGGTTGCATCCTTTCGCCTCTGGGTGGACATCTTGGGAGAAGCGAGTCTAGAGGAGGTAGCGACTGGAGAGGACCTCCCAGCCAATTTCTCCAGCCTTATTGCCCTTTCGGATGCTTCCATTTCTATAAACCGTGATGTGTTTTTTGCCTAGCCTGAGGCAGTATGATGGGTTTTTCCGCCCCGGTAGTTTTTGATAGAGAACTCTTAACTCTTCCCCTCAGCCGTCCTACGGAACCAACGACTGAGTCAGAATCCCCCTAGTGTTCCCGTAGCCCTTGTGTTGTGTTTTTAGCAAGACTGCTTTTTATAGATGACTAAAAGCTTCCCTGTGCAGTCAAGCACTCTTAGAGAAATCCTGACTCCATTTTGGGGGGGGGGGAAATCTTGAGACAGGATGATTCTTCTTTTCTCTTCTTCTTTTATTATACGTATTGTGGGGAGGGGCTGTTTGTTTTAAATCTCAAAATAAGATCTGCAAACTGTGATGTTCCGTTCAAAAAAAAACTGGAAAAAAAGGCAAGAGGAGCAGGGTGTGAAGGCCACAGAGAAAGACGATTCCCTAGGAGGGTGGGGGGGAGTGCAAGCCGGATCATTTCTCAGTTTGACAGCTGCCAAACACTGATGAATTAGGATAGAATAAGCAGTGTTTCTCAACCTTGACAATTTTAAGGCATGTGGACTTCAACTCCCAGAATTCCACAGCCAGCAATGCTGGCTGTGGAATTCTGGGAGTTGAAGTCCACATGCCTTAAAATTGTCAAGGTTGAGAAACACTGGAAAGGAACTTTTTTTCTTTTAGTTTGACAAATCAATGCAATTCACACACAGCACCAAGCAACAGATCTAGAAGTGGGGGGGGGGAGAGGGGAGTTTGTAGGATCACAAGTTCTAGCACGCACCGCTGTCATTTAGCTTCCTTCAACCTGGCACCATGCTGGCCGGGAATGATGGAAGGTGAATTCCAACATACTTGGAGAGCGCCTGGTTTGGAAAAGTGCTTCTTGATTTAATTCCCTTTTCTTTGTCTTTGTTACCCCAAGTGCGGGGCTTGAGCGAGGAGGCTAACATGTCATGTCACTCAGAATTATCTTAGGGCAGGCATGTCAAGCTGCCGGCCCGCGGGCCGGATGCGTCACACCGAAACTGCGCCCGCCCCATTGCCGGCAATGGGGAAAAAGCCCCGATACGTCGCACAACGTCACGTGACGTCGCGAGTTGGATATGCCTGTCTTAGGGGATCCGTTTTGCCCTCAAACAGCCCTGGGTTTGTTTGAAGCTAAAGTCATTCTCTCCAGTCAGCCAGGATAGCTTCCTCAGGAATCAGCTGATCTTTTCCCCGTTCTGAAGCAGAACTCTAGAAAGGCCACATAGGAAGGTTCACTCTGGCACTCCGTGTCTGCCATAAGTTTGCATTTCAGGCCTTGCAACTTTCTGGGGATGGAAAGTGAGGCAGAAAGGGGCGTGTTGATCCTTGCTGCATTGGCACCAACTTCATGGCACCGTGAGTTAGTCCTTAGTTTTCTATTTCACTCCCAGCAGCAAGAGAAAGATGGGAAGCGACAGCCTCCAAGTTTCTTTGGCAGCAACTGAGCAGACCTAAAACTGGCTATTGATCTGACATGCTGCATCTATCCCAGATTGTGTCCTAGTGGCACATAAAAGGCAGGCAGCTGGCTAGGGAAGGAGATGACTGGGTTAGCCATGGGCAAAGAGTCTACTCTACATCTATCTGTGAAACACAAGAGCCTTTGACAATCCAGCAGGCTTCTGAAAGGGTAGCAGCGACAGCAGCTTGTTAAAAGGCCCTTCGGATGGGGGACTGACCGTATCTGTCGGAGATGTGATCCGAAAAAGGGAACAAGTCCCACCCTGCTCTCTACACACCCCTCCACCCCCCAATTCCCCACCTCCCCTCTCAAGAACACAAGTCTCTGGGCTTAGTTACAATACGGTTCTTCTGCTCCTCTGGGTACCGTTTGCAATTTGATAACCCGGTAATAATGGTGTAAGTTAAAGTTTTTATTGATACGGTTTCTCTCGCTTTGGTTTAGTGCTATATGATTGGAACAATAACCCAAGAAGTTATTTGTATGGACAAAAATCTGTGTGTGGATCTCTTGAATTTCTCCCCAGTGGCAACAGGCAAAGTGAAGTCCAGCAGGGAGACTGACATGTTTTTTGTTCTAAATTTAACTTTCCATTGTAAGATTCTAACTCCTTTTGATTTTTAACATAAGAGTGAGAACATCAGAAGAATCTTGCTGGAACTCTCCTGCCCGTTGCACCCAGCATCTTGTTTCCAGCGTTGGCTGAACAGCTGGAGAAGCAGCAGTTGGTCCCTTCCAATCGGTAATAAGGTACACTGCTTCTAAGACTGGAGGTTCTAGTTAATGTCTAATGTACTGTGCATACATTTGTTTGTAATCTTTTAAAGTCAACTCAGTAAGACTTTTAATTTGGAATCTGATTATATGTATCGCGAGAGAGAAATTAATTGAAGTGATTCCCTGTGAAATCTGTGAAAGTGGCAGGTTGAATAATGGATTTATCAGTCCAAGGCTGGAAGTAGAATACCTCATGTTGTTGCCTTCCTATTATTAGTAGAAAAAGTAGATACTGTCAACGATTACATGTAAACAGCTGGACCCAGAATTCAGAATTTAAGAATACATTTGAATTTGTGGATTGTTCTTAAGGATCCTGATTCATGTTTGGTGGAGTGTTAGTCTCACATTTTCTTCTTTGCTTCCCCCCCCCCCTTTTTCATAGCAGAAATTGAACTGGAATGTTGGTTTGATAACAGCCGCTCTTGCTTAACGCCACAGGGCTGATTGTGATAGAATTTGGAATGACCTCCCCAGTGTACCTGTACACACCCAGGTAAATTGAACCCCTGATAGCAAGCTTATAGCTCAGTGATGATGGGAAGAAACAGATAACATGCAGATCTTTTCTTTTCCAACTTCTTTTAACAATTTCTTCCACTTGGATGGAATCATCTTAGCAAGACCTGAGATGGCAAAAAGATAGGCCTTGTCTTTCCAGAGACTTTCTTCTCCTTCCCTGTATGTTAACTCCTTTTTTTTTAAGATCAAAACTAAGCTGACAGTGGTTTTGCTTCTCCGGGATCCAAGTCAGGATGATTCCCCGATGCCCAGGCTTGTGCTCACAGTACTGCACTGTTAGGGACAGCGCAACTCCTCCTGCTGTCCTTGAAGACACCAAGATGGATTAGGACAGGAACAGCAGTCACGTGTGCCACAGTCGGCTCCATGGGCTCTTTGCAGGGTTTGCAGTCCATGGAGGTTTTCTGATTTTGGACAGAAAAGGGATCGGTAATGATGCACTTAAGATCATTAAAAAAAAAAACTTGCTAAAAGAACAAAACAAAAGTAAGCTCCCTGCAAAATGGTCATTTACTTTAAAGTGTCCTGGCTGCAGAAAGGCTGAGCTGTGCTAGATTAGGGGCACAGGGTCAAATCATGCAGCAGAGCTATTTCAGGCCATTCTGTGCCCCACATCTCTGCCACTGGAAGGTGCGTGTGTGTGTGTGCTTTCCTTGTCACAGTCAGTCCTGAGTCGAAAGGATATTTCGACGCAAGAGGCTTTTAACTGAAAGAGGACTCTGTGCATTACTGGGACCCAAATCGCAGCTTGACCATCGAGTCCTTTCTCGGGAAAGCTATCCCGTCTCCCTCTGCCTGTCGTCCCTCGTTCTGATGGTCCAGGCAGCAGAGAAGGAGCTATGGAGGGGAGGGGAAGGGAGGGGAAAGGACGAATCTGCTGAGAAAGTGAATTGTTCAATTATTTGTGAAAGAACGTAGCAGCTGAAGAAGGCACTCAACAACTGCAAACCAGTGAGGGATCATAGACCCCATTTCGCCCCCCCCCCCCCGCGTCCCCCAGTAGAAAGGATAGCAGAACTACCACTATAAGTCAGTCCTCAACATGCACCACAGTCATAAAGTCTGTCACCTGGAGGCCTTGGTTGGTCTCTCAGTGCTTTCACTCTTCCTTCCTTGGGATTATTTTCTGGCTCATTTCAGTTGAACCCATTCTCGTTTGTCTATTATCTTACTAGTGCGATAAGGATTCCCTCCGCATGTTCATCTGTCTGTCGTCTTCTCAGTTGCCACGTTTTGGATCCAGCACAGAGTCTCTTGGCTCCACATTCAAAGCCTTGTTCCTGTCCAATGAAAGGCTTTTAATTGACTGGGTTTTTTTGCAGCATGAATGACTGGGGGCAATTCCAAACATCTCTCTTAAGCTGTTCGTCTCTCTCTGCTGCTAATGGCAGGAAAAGAAGGGAGCTTGAGAAATGGCTATCCAGATGTCAAGCTGTTCAGTCCAGAAGCTGGTTATCACGTCCCCAATTGTTGGATTCTGCTCCTACTTCACCTACAACAGGGGTCTCCAGCCTTGGCGATGAAGAATTCTGGGAGTTGAAGTCCACAAGTCGTAAAGTTGCCAAGGTTGGAGACCCCTGACCAGAAAACAAAGCATTAGACACTTTCAGCAGTTCCCCAAAAGGTCCCAGACCCATTTCCATTCTGATTCAAGTGACTCTGAGGATACAGATAACTCCCCCAAGTGGCTTCAGTGGCCCTCAGAGTGCTAATGACCAGCTGACTGGAAGAATATAAATCCTTCCATCCCCCACCGGGAAATGAAACGTTGATGAGAAATGAAACGTTTTCAAAGAAAACAACAACAACAATAAGAAAGTCCAGTTGCCTTTTGAAAAAAAGCATCTTTGGGACAACCATGACTTGGATGATTGAGAATCTCCACAGAGACTAGATACTTTGCTTTCGGTGAGTAAGTCTTTGTGAACCCCACGGTTTCTATGCTGGGTGAGAAAACAGCATCCGGTGTTCATAAATTCATAGGCTCATAAGAATGGAAGAGATCTTAGATGTCATCTAGTTTAGTCCCCCGGTCAGTGCAGCAGTTGCTTGCTCACAAGCAGCATTTCATCAGTCCAGGTCAAATTCAAAGCACCAAGAATGACACGTGGCATTATTTCGGAGTAATTTTTTTGTTATAATTAACCTACAAACAGAAATCTTACCAGACTAAAGCAGTTATCTGCAATAACTATAGGTATACTCTGTGAATTGCTAGGGAGGATCCAACCTTGCTCTTTTCCTGCCC